GAGTGAGTTTACTTCGTATTAGTCTAATTGATATAGGACATATATAGTCGTCTTCAAAACAACGAATTAGGAATAACAGGTATCTGCATCCGGTTAATTTGTCACAAAAAAGGAATGAGACGGTAAATGGGGACCTAATGTGATTCATACTATTTTCTCTGCCCTCTGTTGATGGACGATAACAGGATTTCTATTTATTTAGGCGGAAATCCTTTTCCGAACCGGTTCCTCCTTAGCACTGCAAAAGCGATCATTTGCATGCCACCCTGAGCGCAGAGAATAACTATGACATCATTTCACTCTGATATGGAAGATGTTGCTAAATCTCTAGCCAAATTTGAAAAACACCTCCCGCGATCACAAGATGTGGGCTTTGGGGTCCAAGTATGAAGTTCTAGGGGTTCATTGACATACCTCCCAGATTTGAACAATTCCAGGACGGAGGCAGCTGCAAGGTCATAAAGGTTAGGATAAGGCAGCAAGACGATGAGCCGGAAAACGGGTGAACTGTCGCTTTCATACAGAATGGTGCGGCGCGTCACAACTGTCTCTGTAGACGTAACATTCGGCACATCTCATACCCGGAGGGAAGGGGTGGGGGGGGGTGAGGCAACTTCTACGAATGGCGTTCTTTGGGCTAATCACGGTTGGAGCATTACCGTCACTCATTGTCAAGCTATCAGCACAGATTGTCAGCTACGAAGATGGTGGTCCTCATGGCCTGTATAAAGAAAAGACTCTATGCACTAGATAATTGCGGTTTTTTGCCTCCAAATCATCATTTGAAAACTTTTCTCACCAACTCGAAGAGGAAAAGCTCCACGGCAAGCGGGGTGCGGCTTGGTGGGATGGAGGGCATTTCGCTGGTTCCCGTCGATCATTACCGAAGCTTCAAGTGTATGCCTGTAGGCTCTTGTGAAGCTCTACAGTAGCACGAGCTCGGTCCACACTTGAGAAGAGTCAAAAAGTCTCACTAAGGTGTGACATTCAAGTCAGTGGGAATCAGAAAGAGGAACTAGCAACGCCTCCACGCCCCACCAAGCCAAACAGCGCCCAGCTGCAACCGTTTTGATTTTCCGAAACTCAAATTGGACCCTCGTTTCTGAGGGTAATCTTACCATGTGCGCAGAAATGGTACACTTGTTTGGCGCGATAATGCTAACGCTCATTGCTTTGATACGAAGACCCTGAAAAGGCCATACCTGAATTTGCAGTCAAAATCCTACGAAGTCTCTAGGAGGGCGCAAAAAAAACTGGTGTGAAAACTGGAAGTTTTTGGTCGGTGTATAAAATGAAAACGTAAAATAATGGCAAATAAAGGGAAATAAAACATTCGTGTGCAGAAACTGTATATGGCGCATTCTATTCGAGAATTATATGTTATTTTGATTTAAGCTGTTATTGTTTGATAACTGCTGTTTAACGCCGCAGTGCGCGATCCGAAAGTTATCACAAGAATGCTGAGTTGTGGGCAAAAGTCGGACCACGGACGGGATTCGAACCCGCATCTTCTGCTTACCGGGCAGTTGCGTTCCCTATTACGCTACCGAGGCCACTTTTGACCACTCAGCTCAATGCTTTGCCCACAACTCAGCCTTCTTGTGTTATTTGAAATGTGTTATAGGTATCAGTATAACATATCATATTGCTGTTTCTAGCAAGAGAGCGCGTCCAAAAATCATATAATACGCCATCTTATCCACACCAGCCATTTGGGCAGTTTGGATTGCTTCGATTGGCAATTTCACCTGCGTCAACATGATGTTCCTCTACTCGCCAAAGTATCTTTCAACTGGTTAGTCAAGTTTAGAGGAATGGAGCAGTGAAATGCGAGTCGTTGTCGTGCGTCTATCAACAGTTTGATTCTTTCCTTGCTCCTCTACATCACATATACCCCGCTGCTTGAAAGTTTGTTGATCGCCATGTTGGTTAGTCACGTTGTTTACATACATCTCTTCTAACTAGCTTCTAGCTTTTCACGACCCTTTATAGCCGTAGTCCACGATGGCCGCATGGGCGGGATCAGACCTAACCTTTCGCCTTCCTCACCACTCTCGCCTCCCCTCTCTTTGCATATAACAAGGCGCTGGGGACCAGTGAGGAAAGCGGAAGAGTGGGTCCGGATCCATCCATTCGACAACCGTTGAATGTACCTTCCACTGAAAGCTACAATGCAGATGGAAGATGAAATCATGCATTCTGCGCAACTGTTTCAGCGCCTCCCTTCACTGCGCCACGATTCATATCCTTTGGACCATTCAGATAATGACATTCTAGCCTCTAAAATCCAACTGTTTAGTGCTGGGTTTTGCTGTCCACAAGACTGGCATCACAGCCGCTCTGCCACCACTTGCCCAATTTCTCAGCAAACTGGCATTCGGTAAGTCACTGCTTTGATATGACGTTGTATCTCTGTTAGCCATGCCAGTTTCTAAGGGTGAAATGCACTCGTTAACCCAAAAGAAGTGTGTCCTATATTAGAGTCAACAAGGTGCGCGGTCGCGGCGCGTCCGTGCGCCAAATTGACTTGCCTTGTTTGTGCTTCCCAGGTGCCTTTGATTCGTCAATAACTGATTGTGTTAAGGAATGTTGTCGGATCGTATAAAATTCATTTCGGAAAAGAACAAATTCCGGATCTTCAACTCAATAGCTTACTTTGGATCAGCAGCTTTTCTGACTATTTTGGCCTTCATGGGAGATGTTCATAAGGTACGATACAGATTTCTGATGATAGCCCGTTGTCGTCTAGTTCGAAAAGTGGCTGAATAAGTCAGCCCTCTCCTTGGAAACGCTAACCCCACTGGTGGTACACCTAGAGGGCACGACGCGACGTCGCGCACCTTTGTGGCGCAGCACCCACGGTGGATGATTTGAGCGTTATCTCCCCTCTCTATCGAATACACAATCTTTTTCTCTGTCTTTCTGCGCTCCATAAGTTCCAGTGCTCAGCTAACGCCTGAAATCGTTTTTGCAGAAGCCGCAGGTAGAAAGGTAGGCGGCGTCGCGGTAGCCTCTTGCTCTGCAATCATACAATAGCCCTTATACCCCTTTGGTGCAGTTTGGCCTGGTGGGGGCAGCGAATGATACTAGGCCTGTACAGGCCAGTATGTGATGACCTGTAAATCACTGTGGCCAAAGCAGCTCAATTTCGCAGCTTCACAGGGGTTTACAAGTCTGACCGGAAGTGAGACCTGTTAGTACATAAACTCACAAAAGGGGCTAGAGAATTACGAAATACCCCCTTCAAGCCGAACGTTGCCCACGCCTTTATGCAAAACATCATCTACCTCGCACCAGGGAGCCTTCTTGGAAAACCCAGCGTACTATATATGCCTTACCAAAGCTACATAAGAACCCAGTTAAATTCAGATACATCACAGGTGCACATAGCAGTAGTATTAAACCACTGGCCCAGGAATTACGCATAGTCTTCACACATCTTAAAAATCACTTCATAAACTATGCTAAAGCAATTCGGAATCGCAACAGGACTATCAAGACATACTGGTCTATAAGTAATCCTTACATTCTATAAAGCAGAAACTCTGTGTGTCGGTTTGTCGGTATG